TCATTCTTAAATGCCATAATGAACAGTTAGGACGACTATCCCATGGTTTTATGTATAATACATGGAAGATATGTTCTGCTGATGAAAATGTTTCTATAATAATCTATTTGACATAATTTTACTCATTATTTAAACAATAAAAAAATAGCATCTTAAAGATAAATTAATTTAAACATAACACTCGCCAGTGATGGCCTTGAAGCTAACTCCACATAGGAATGGTGGGTAGTTACTGAGGAAAGGAGCAGAGAGCAGGATCACCTGCTTCCTCTTCTTCAGGTGCAGGTGTAGCTGCATATTTCTTAATGAAAGGAGTGATGGTAAGTTTTTTTTTTTATAAATCTCTTGGCAACAAGAAATTGTATCTTGCATCTTCCTTGCCACTGCACTTTTGTGCTCCATGTCAGGGTCATTTTCAGAGGAGAGTTCTATTGCTTCATTGATCTTATTAAAGGTGTCTGAGAGCACTTTGCATATAAGACCTCTCTCTGGTGCAGCCTCTTCAGCAGCATCACTTGCAGCCATGTCTTCTGCTTGTTGGGCCAGCTGTATGAGGTCTTCATTTGTTAAACTCTCCCCATGAGAATTTAGTAACTCCTCCACATTGTCCTTATTAATTTCATTGAAATCAGCCTGTTGTGCAAGCTGGACAATGTTGTTGTGAATTTGAGGCATATCAGGTTCAAAACTAACAAAATAATTTACACAGTTAGGCCACAACTTTCTCCATACACTGTTCATGTGCTTGACAGTCACTTCCCACCATGACTCTCTAATGGTTTTCTTTGTCTTCATGATGTTATAATTGTGGATATGCCATCTTCACCATTAGTCTCCTTGATAAGCTTTGAAAATGTACGTCACAGGTAGTATGCCTTGCAGACAGTTATCACTCCCTGATCTATAGGCTGAAATATGGATGTCATGTTGGGTGGAAGAAACACAACTTCAAATTTAATTTTTGTTGTTAAAGTGTCAAGATTGATTGAATAACTAGGGGCATTGTCCGGGAGTAACAGTGCTTTCTTAGGAAGGTCATGACTCACAATACCGCTTAACAGCTGGGCAAAAATCATAAACAAACCACTCTTGAAAAATATCCTGAGTAACCCATGCTTTTCATTTTGAACACCACATTACAGGCAGGTTTGCCTTGCTGCAGCCTTTCATTGCTTGAGGATTTTAAGAATGATAAACCATCAAGGGTTTTAATTTGAAATTCCCTGCTGAGTTTCTTTCAAGCAAGAAAGTCAGGAAGACTTTAGCTGCCTTAAATCCTGGTGCAGTTATTTCCTCACAGACAATAAATGTACAAAAAGGCATTCTTTATGGAAAAATATTGCCTCATCCACATTAAAGGCCATAATGCCAAAGAATTCCTCTACTGCCTGTTGGTCTGCACTTGCTGCCTCTCCTGAAATTTTGAAGCTGTGCAAAGTTGTTGTGATGTTTAAAGTGGTTAAACCAACTACAGATTGCATTAAAACTTTCCTCAGTTGAACTCTCACTCTCTATTTGCATGTAAACTCAGTGCATTTTCCATAATGATTCTCATACTGAGGAGCATATATTGCTGGTTTTGATCCTCAATCCATATAGCTAGAATTTTTCCATTCACTCCATCATATTACTCCTTCTTCTTGTAATTTTAGTTGCACTCATGGATGTAACATTTCGTTTGGTACTTTTAAGAATGTCTGCTTTTTTGCCACAGATCTCACCATGGTTGGTGAGATCAACAAATCACATGCAATATCCACCACATGTTCACCAATCTCAAAACTATGTGTAATTTTCAGGTTTTTCTCCAGCATTGTGTTTTTCTTCTTAGCCACTTTACCTTGTGGTGCAACAGTATCACTTGCTGGGCATTTAGAGGCCATAATTAAGAAAGGGTGGGCACTTCAACAACCAAACTGGGAGAAAGCATGGTGCAATTGTTTTTGAAACAACAAAGAGACATCATCCAATCCCTGAAAAGTTATCATACAGTTGGACAAACTGTACACGTACGTATTATAATTATTGTGCAAGTGGACAAACTCTCCACGTAACCCCTCTTCTCTAATTTCTTTACCACCACCCCTAAATGTATGAAATATAATGTAAATTACTCACTATGATATCATTCTTGTTTAGGCAAAGCATAATTTTCATAGCCTTTAATCTTGTTTAGTTACAGAGCAATCAAATAGAAAATCAGTCCTCTCCTGCCATGCCCAACTTTCACATCCCCTCTTCCATAAACTGCCAGTAGTTTTTTCTTACTTTTAATACTATATTATTTATAACCAATAGAAAGCCAAGGTTTTAATCTATCAAGTGAAATATTATATTATATTATATTTTTCTCTCTACAGTTAATTGTCAATTTCACTTTCAGTCCAAGCTGGTTTTCCACAGTAAAACAATTGATGAGGTCAGTCAAAGTGACCAACCTTGTAAAGACTATAATACAGTTAGGGTAGAGAAAATAACAGATAAAATATAAACTTTCAGAGATTATGCAATTAAAACTAGAGATTTTTGAGACAAAAATATTTTTAATCTTAACATGAATATCTGTTTGCTCTCAGACTAGTAAAAAAAATATATACTCCATATATTCACAGACAAATTTGTAGTAAAAGTATTTCATGAAAAAATCTGACTGTGTGTACAAAAGACTTAATGTTTACTAAAAATCTGGTAAATTTTGTGAAGATACATATACTGTATCAAAAGTTATAATATGGAAACCATATTGATTACAAAGTGGTTACGAGGTCAGTCAATTGACCAACCACATGGCAATAGAGTTAATTTATTTTCAAATGACGAATAACAGGGTGATAAATAATGAAAACTAGCTGTACAAAGTAACTAGAAGATGCATGTCTCTCAGTTTATAAATCTGTTACTGTGCTATGTACTGTTAAAGATGAATCCTAACCAATTAAATGTTAAATTTCACAGAAGAATTATGAAGAACAGTGTATATAGATAATGCTTCAGGTGTCAGAATATACAATACAAATATTTATAGGAAGATCTTCAGAAATGTCAAAGTGCTTCTGATGTATTATCTCATTAATGTGGGTTTACCCAAATCATTTGAAAAACCCAGTATATCCTCAATGTTTGTTCAACCTTTTAGAACTCCAGTTAACTCTTGACTGTCTGTGTTAGTGGCTGTGGCTCTTTTTCTGCTTTTTTAAACCTTTAAGGAATTCAGTTTCTTCCACTGTTTTTATTAATGCAATTTTTCAAAGCTGTGTTTATCCATTCTATATTTGTTGAAACTTAACAATAATGCATAGTAAACCTCATGTGAGTAAAATTCACAAATATAAAAAACATGATAAAAATCACTTGGTCGCACAGGGTGAGGCATCTGTTATTGTTGTTTTTGTAAATACTACTTGTTTTTTACTATTTTGAGAGTTTATGGTTCAAAATACTGCAATTTTTCTTTTCTTAAAGACATTCAGAGCTTTTAATACCATACATCAAGCTACTTGAATATTCATAAGAAGTGTACATATATAATGTTTAGCATGCTTTGTAAAGAAACTTTTGTTTTAACCCTTTCCCTGCCTTAGGTCATTTAATGGTTTTTATTTGACTACTTACCAAAGTAAGTATGAGGTAAAACATTCTTCTAGTATTATTGAAAGAGAGCCGAATAGATTTTTAGCAAAAAATCCTAGTTCACATTTTCTCTTGAGTGAAACTAACTCAACTTATCATCATTCACATGTATGTTTTGAGTGTCACATGTGTTGCTCATATGAAACCCTTTTCTAATCTCATAACCAAAACAACCAGTTCCTATTGCTACATTCATGAGCATCAGCTGTATATCAGATAAATACAGCTGTGTATCACATATGATACTCAGCTGCTCTAGCATTATGTCCTGTGTATAACATGTGATGAACAGGACAGGAATAAGGTAAAAAGCAGTTGGAAGTTTGTTTTGTTGTGTAGGTGGGCTATTGATGCCTGAATTTATAAATGAAATTTACAGTATTAATACGTAAACAATCATTGAGAGTTATAAAAATCAGGAGTCCCATAGTCAAGTGAGTAAACAAACTTATAAAATCACTATATGGGTTTACTTTTAAACTTTCTGTAACACTCACTGTTACATTGTACCTGATAAGTAAAATTTTCCAAACATAGTCTTTTCTTGTTTCTCACTACCCGTATAGCCATTTTATAAGTATTTTAACACCCACAGTGTTTACTAACAATGAGAATGTTACATATTCTAATATATTTTGCATATGACAATTATATATATGTATGTAAACTACATTAATTTATCTCCGTTACAAAAGCATGATATTTTTGTGGCACGGTGTACATGTAATTCCATTGTCCTTCACAGATATTTAAACTTTCAAGCTCAGTCATAGAGACATTTTGCATGAATGATATTCTGGACATCTTTGTTACATGAATTACATTTCTTGAATTGGAACAATTTTTAATATTTATATAAATTCTATAAAAATGTTATTTGCCTGTACTTTGGAAGACAGGTGGTTTGAATCATATCTATTATTTTATGCAACTTAAAATGTTTAATGTCAGAGCTGTAAGTAGTTAAAAGTAATTTAATACATGTTGAATTTTCACTTTCAGAATATTACACAGAAAAAATGGTAATAATGTTGTTAAATGTTTTTATTAAGTTTCATTTAACTAAACTGCAACTTAGTTTATTGATGTATATATTATTATTTTATAACACCTTCTACAGATGTTCATATATAGCAATAACAACTGTAAAATAAAACTACTATAACACTGTTTATTCAACATTTGTAGAGAGCTTTGCTTTAAACCAGTAGTATTAAATTATCATATTATAAAAAAGTGCTAATTTATTTTAAAAAGTCCCAAATGATATTTATGAGACATAGTTAAACTTGATGTATGTTCCTGTATGTACATATTTTCTGTGTATATATAATTACTGTGTTTTAAAAACTGGCTTTCTTCCTTGCCAGTCCAGATGCAGTAGCTTTTAAAGTGGCTGAGAAAGTTTATGAAAACTTCAACAATGCATGCCTTGTAATTGTGAGTGATGTTAATTATGATTTAATTCCTGAATATTACTAATTATTTTAATAATTTGGTCTCAGAAGATCATATACATTAGTGCTACATATTGTGTAGATGCAGAAAGATAACTTTTTGTTCATTGTTTTTACTACTACATTTCATAATACTGAGAAAATTACTGCTTGTTCTAATATAAGTATAAATTTAATCTCTTCGTTTATTAGCCTGTTCACAAAAGAAAATTTATTTTAAGATATGTTAGAATTGGGAATTAGTTGCTGCAAATATTCTTACAATTTTGGGATTTCAAGCTGCTATAAATGTAGTAAAGATTATAACTATATTTTCCTTTAATAGTTTTTTTTTATATAATTATTTAGAACAATTCATGAAAATTTTACAATTCTCCAAATTAAGGTTACTTTTAAGACACTATTCTCTTTTTAAAAATGTATAAATATTTGTATTAATAGACTTCAGTGAAATTTATGGCTCTACTTCTGTACCATTATTTTAAACTACTTAATGCAGTAAAGTAATGAATGTTTATATATATATTTCTCTGCTTCCAGATAAACATCAAATATACTGCATACTATCTCTCTTTCTTCCATCACTTCCTGTAGGTACTCAATCTTTTCTGAGATTACGGATTTCTCCTGTATCAGTGGAAAGTGATTACTTAAGTGAGCATGCTCAGAAGGACATACTATCTATTGTTCCTTTTGAGGATGTCATTTTTTACTTTATCAGAGCTTCTAATAGGTTGAATTTTTGTGTTAGCTTTTCATTGTGTTTCTTCTCAACACATTTAATCAGCAGTTAAGCTAAATGTTTGGTATTAGCAGTGTGATGAACCAGAAGATATTGATTTCTTTCTCCTTATGGAGAATTGACAGAAATTTGGCTGTACTGTCTACCAGTATTTTTCAATTTCTTTTTATCTGCTTGTTCAAGTGAGGTTTGTCGTGCATGTAATGAATTTTTAGTGGTCTACATTTTACCCATCTTCAATTTTTTGTTCTGTCAGAATCTGTGTTTGTAGAAATATGCTCTTCTTTTATTAATTCATTTACTTCCCTTATCATTGACAACTTAATGCTTTTTTTTGCCCTGGTTTCACACCCATTTGGCAAAGGAATGCATTTATTTTTACTTATGATTATTTATGGCATATAATATTAGAAAAATATTTCTGCCTCTTGCCAAGCAGACAATAGATGTTGTGAAACTCCTGTTTTGGGGATTTCATGTCTGTTTACTTGCCTTTCCCAATAGACCAACTTTCACATGTGGAGAGAGAGAGAGGACTTTTTAAATTATGTTGTGGTCATTGGGAGCCTTCTTTAGGCATCTGCAGTACTAACTTTAATTTCCTAGACCTTACTGTTTTCAGTTGTTTCCTCTGTTTTGTTTATGTTCACAGAGGGGGTCTATTAGTTTGTAATATGATGTTTGGCTTAGCTACTTTTAAATTTTAATCATAGTTGTTAAATTTTTTGCAGCATGGTCTTTTACATTGGTTCAGAATTTCCACATTTAAACAAACACTTTTAGTCATACTGACATTTATGTTGTTTCAAACTGTCTAAATTTCCAAATTGACATGATATCCAGTTGAGACTATATTTTTCAGAAAAAGAAAATAACACAATATAACAATATATCACCATTACACTTGTTTGGAGTTTGATCCACTGGAATGAGGTTTACAAAGATGTAAACTTTCCTCATACAATTATATCTTGATCAAGGCAAGGAGAGGAATTAACTAATCAAATGTGGTTTTATACTGCAAGTAAATTAACAGCCAAATGAATCAAGTATTATGACAGTCGTTAAATATATTCTTAAAACACAGGCCATGAAAACAAATTTCCCATAAGCAACTGATATAATACACTACAATGTAGTCACAGGAGAGTATCATAATCTAATCTTAGAGGTAAATGACAAAATAGAAGACCAATGTACTACCCACAATTCTAACAAAATGATACGACTAAAAGACTTACAGGTACTAAAGAGAGCCATATTGACAGTAGTTCAAAGGATGAGAGAACTCTAGTCTCAAAAAATCCACTTTATTGGCTAGAGTAAAAAACATGTAGCACACAGAATGAAAACTAGTAATTGGGATTTGCATCAAAAGCAATGACCATTGGTAAACCCAGTGTTTTGTCAAGAGATGAAATGACCATTGTGTGGGTAGATTCCACTTTTGCCTTGATAACTAAATGACTATCAAATTTCTATCCTCCTGAACCTATCAGCCCTAAAAGGTAAAATATTTAATCCAAAGACCAAAGGCCTGGTCAAGTGTGAAATTTGGGATGTTTTTATGTCAGATCTTTTTGATAAGAGTACAGAAGCCTGCCTAGCTTTGATTTAGTCTTCTTTGTCAACCAGAAAACCTTTTGCTTTTTTGGCAAGGTTGGTGAATTAAGGCCCTGCTCTATATCTTTATAATGTCTGTCTTTGTTCTGGATATAGGTGGTGCCTCCTGTTCACTTTTGAACCCATTTTCTGTTTGGAGGAAATCTTTCTGCTTGAAGTACAAAAATGTATTTGAAACTACATTTCAAAATCAGTATAGAATTAAAATTGTCATGTATGTAGAATTGACAAAACATGAATCCTTCCCTTGTCTGTTAGTAAGACATCTCAAACATAAAGAATGATAAAAGTTTTTTTTCTCATATACTTGAACACATTGATTGGTGGAGGGCAATCTCATATATGATAAAAGTTTCAGAAACAACAGAAAATGAGATGTCACTGAAGTGATGCAAGAAAAATAGAATAAAACCAATATCTAATTAGCCATTCTGGAGTAACTTTTGGAATAAAACTTAACTATTTGGCCATTCTGGGGTAACTTTTGGAATAAAACTTAACTATCTGGCCATTCTGAAGTAACTTACAGAGTAAAACTATTACTTACTTGGCCATTCTGGAGTAAAACTATTACCTACTTGGCCATTTTGTAGTAACTTTTGGAGTAAAACTATTACCTACTTGGCCATTCTGGGGTAACTTATGGTAGTAAAACTATTACCCACTTGGCCATTCTGTAGTAACTTTTGGAGTAAAACTATTACCTACTTGGCCATTCTGGGGTAACTTATGGAGTAAAACTATTACCTACTTTGCCATTCTGTAGTAACTTTTGGAGTAAAACTATTACCTACTTGGCCATTCTGTAGTAACTTTTGGAGTAAAACTATTACCTACTTGGCCATTCTGTAGTAACTTTTGGAGTAAAACTATTACCTACTTGGCCATTCTGTAGTAACTTTTGGAGTAAAACTATTACCTACTTGGCCATTCTGGGGTAACTTATGGAGTAAAACTATTACCTACTTGGCCATTCTGTAGTAACTTTTGGAGTAAAACTATTACCTACTTGGCCATTCTGGGGTAACTTATGGAGTAAAACTATTACCTACTTGGCCATTCTGGTAGTAACTTTGGAGTAAAACTATTACCTACTTGGCCATTCTGGTAGTAATTTTGGAGTAAAACTATTACCACTTGGCC